TGTCTGCATGGTGTGTATGTGTGATTGTGTGTGTGTGTGTGTGTGTGATGTATATGTGTGTGTGGTGTGTGTGTCTGTATGTGTGGTGTGTGATATATGTGTTTGGTGTGGGGGGCATGGTATGTATGTGTCTGCGTGTATGTGTGTGTGTATGTGGATGCATGTGTGTCTGTGCATTTGTGTGTATGGTATGTGATGTGTGTGGGGTGTGTGGATGTGTGTGTGTACGGGAACACAGAGGTCAAAAGAGTGCATCAGATTTCTTCCTCTATCAGCCTCTGCTTATTTCTTTGCGGCGTGGTCTCTCTCTGAACCTAGGGCTTGAGTTTTCTCAGTCAAGCTGAAAAACAGTGAACCCTGGTTATCCTCTGTCTTCTGCCCTCAGAGCTGGATTACATGTGTGCGCCAAACACTCAGCTTGTTACATGGGCGTTCAACTCCGGATTCTGGTCCTCATTATCATGTAACAAAGGCTCCTAAGCCCTGAGCTACTTCTCCAACCCCTAAGGATCATCTTCAATGAGCGAGAATCTTAAGTTTATGCTTGCGGGACCACAGACCAACCACATCTGAACACTTGCTTGGAAATCACCTTCTGTGAGCCTATCTGAGTGCATTTGGTTTTGCTGGTATCAGGAAACTATTCCTAAGGTCTTGTGATCACTTAGGAGGAAAGCAGCTGAGCCTCCCAAGTTCACATAGTGCATAGTGCCAGATGGCTTGTGAGGAGAGACCTGTCCTCACAGTTGCTCCACATAAACCATTTCCCACAGTCTCTGTTTTCCCACCAACCCTCAGCACAGTCCCTTCCCTGTGGCTTAGGCTCAGAGCCCTGCAGACCCACCCAGCCCTGGTATGAGGCAGAACTGCCCCAGCCACATTCCCAGGAAAAAGCTCTGGCTCCTGCTAGAGTCAGTCCCCTGCCCTGAGGTGTGTTTGCATCTGGGCCAGATTTTACCTTTTATTTCTGGCTTGTGGCAGCTTGTCCTGAGCATGGATAAACAGAAAGACCCCTCCCTCCTTCTGTGCCTCCAGCCAGGACAGGCCAGGGCACTGAATTGCCCTGGATAGAGAGAACGTTTCCTAACCTCTAAAGCACACGTTCCCTGCATCACATCTCCCGATAATCTCTACAGTGGGTGCCTCAGCTTTGTTCTTGGGGGAGTCTAGATCCCCCTTTTGACAAACAGCTGACTTTTTTTTGGTTTTTTTTTTTTTTTTTTTTGGTTTTTCAAGACAGGATTTCTCTGTGTAGCCCTGGCTGTCCTGGAACTCACTCTGTAGACCAGGCTGGCCTCAAACTCAGAAATCCCCCTGCCTCTGTCTCCCAAGTGCTGGGATTAAAGGCATGCGCCACCACTGCCCAGCTAAATAACTGACTTTAAGAAAGGGGTTCCTCTGTGTTCCTACATGTTTCTGTCTTTAACTCATAAAGCCCACAGTCTCCATAATGCAGAGGAAGTGTCCAAGAACCAAGTTTCAAAGTGGCTCTTGCTTGCTGCCCCATAGAAGGATGCTTTTCCTGGTAGCACTCAGGTGACAATGACCCTGAAGACTGTGAAGTTAAGGAGCCAGTCCCACTGAAGTCAACAGGACTTGTACAGCCCGTGGGACTGGGTTCCAGGGCCCCTGGCGTCAGGGTTGAGGAGGCAGCTGCAGACTGTGGTACTCACGGTTGCCTCGGTCACTCACAGAGTACTGTCTCTCTCCCCAGCTTCCCAGCGCAACATCAGCCTAAAGAAGCAGAGGGGCCGAAGCATCCTTAGTTCTTTCTTCTGCTGCTTCCGAGACTACAATGTGGAAGCCCCTCCACCCAGCAGCCCCAGCGTGCTTCCGCCACTGGTGGAGGAGAACGGTGGGCTTCAGAAGGTCAGTGCTCATGGAAAACTACAACCTAAGACTGCAGTAGTCTGTATGTCCCACCTTGACACATTCCCTCACAAGAGAGCGTAAAATGCGTATGCAGCCATTTAGGACTTGGGTTCAATTTTTTTAGGAAATGAGTATACCTGATCTTCCCAGCTAGCACCTAAAGAACATGTATGAGGGAAGTTTAAGACCAGCGAGATGGCTCAGCTGGTAAAGGGGCTTGGTGCCAAGCCTGGTAACCTGAGTTCAAGCCCCAGAACCCACATGGTAGAAGGAAAAAATTGATTCCCACAAGGTATTCCTGACCTCTTCATGCACACTGTGGCTTGTGTGCAGCGCACACACACACTCACACACACACACGAACAAATGATAAATGTAAATTTTAACAGGAACTAGTAGCAGGCATTTAATAGGCAAAATAAGATAGAGACAGAGCAGACCATGCAGTGAGTATAGTTGACTTTAACTACCTTGAGTGACAACAATATTTGTTGAACAACAGCAAAGTGGAAGGGCTGGGGACACAGCTCAGCCTAGAGTGTTTGCTGGGGCGTGTGTGTTAGATTGTCATAATAGGTCAAAACCCAAAGCCACCCACGAGCTGTCTGACAGACACATCTGGAACAAGATGATTCAGAACAGTTAAGAATATAAGGATAAACAAAGAGACAGTACCCAGGGACAAGCAAAGAAACCGGGTTACATTAATCTCCGTCAAAATCAGATTCCAGGTAGAGCAAACAGAAAAAGACATTGAGAAAGACAAAGAGGATAGCCACCAGGAGTGTGGCTAAAACCTGCAGACGTGCAGTCATAGAGCTTTGTGTTCCAAATAACATAAACAAACAGTATAAACAGATAACAAGAAACAAAGCTGAAGGGCTGCAGACATGCTCAGCGCCTCAGCGGTTACGAGCACTTGCTGCCCTAACAGAGGCCTAGGGTTTGGTTCCCAGCACCCGTGTCAGGCAGTTCATAACAGCCTGCAACTGTAGTCCAGGGGATATGATGCACTCTTCTGGCTTTCATACATGTACACACACACTAAATATTTAAATAAGAAAAATATACAACTAGTCTAGTGTGGGATCTATCAAGGCATCTGATTGTTTTGATATATGGCTCAAAATAGAAAAAATATTTGATGTGGCCAGATGTGCAAACTAAAACAATCCTTTACCCGTCTATGAGGTTTTTATGGGCGGTATAGAGTTAGCGTGGGAGTCAGGGCTTCAGTGTAGCATCAGGTCGCATAAAGAGGATGCTAACTAGTTTACATTCCCAAGGGGACATTTGGCAATATGGAATTAAAATCTTAGAGTACGCCTGTTGTTGATGAAAGCATTTTTATTTCACAGAAAAAAAAATGTCATTATGAATGCACAAAGATTGAATGAACCCTAAGATACTATCTAGCATAGCTTATAATGAGTTCGGAAGGTACCTGACGCAGACCTCTGACCAATACACACACACACATACACACACACATGTATACACACACACATGCACGTACACACACAAAGCTAGCCTTCTGGGAAGTAAGGGAGGTACATTTTCAGACATATAATGATTTCAAGAAGGGGATTTAAAAAGAAAAAAAAATAAAGATAGTTGGTTAAAAGCGCTACCTCATACCATACAATCAGATGCTTTGTCTCTCTTGGTTAAAAATCACATATCCCACAAAGTGACGTACCATGATTACTAACATAAAGAAACACAGTAGAGCTGGAGAGAAGGCTGGGCAAGCACAGCCCGTGTGCACAAGCCTGACAGCCTGGGTTCGGAGCTCCAACCCACATGAAAGCATGACTGCAGTATCTGCAATCCTGGGAGCTGCACTGCTGGCAGCAGGGCTGGCAGCAGAAGCCCGTGGGCCAGCCAGCCTGCCGTACACTGCAGGAACAGCGAGCCAGACTGGAAGGAGACAAGGCAAAAACTTGTCTTCTGTAGAGTCCTAAGATAGGGCTAAAATGTCAGCACCAGTAGAGGCCAGTGGACACCCCGGGGAAGGACTTAAACTGCCCACTGCTGTGGTAGACCCTGGAGGAGGAGCTGCACTGGCAAACTGAGTGACTTCATTCCCTGTACCCTGACATCTGATAGTATGGCACTTCCTTTGCCTCTGCTGGTCCATGGAAACAGGGCTCCTCTGGATTTCCCAGGGTTTCTCATTCCCCAAAGATCCTTATGGACAGAGTCGCCAGCCATGGTCAGAACACACAGCCTTATACAAGCAAAGAAAACTGTAGCCTCAGCTGAGAGGTCCTTGTTGAAAAGCTAGCACCTGAGACTCCTTCTGGGGGAAAACAGTGGGAAAGATAGAAGGCAGCCTCCAGGACACTCAGGACAGCCATTCTACGGCAGAAGAGACTTGTGGGACTCAGATCTCCTCAGTATTAAACACAAACCCTCAAAAAACAAGGGGGGGGGGGGAGAGAGAACAGCCACTTCTGAGAACTGAAAGCAAATTCTAGAAACGCAATGGAAGAAATACTGTAGAACTGGGACCAGAAGCACAAAGACGGAAATCATGAGGGAGGAAGAGGAGCCATCTGGGAGACATGTCGACAAACAGGAGCACCAGAAGGAAAAGTAGAGGTGGATCTTTTAAGTTTTGTTTGTGTTTGGTTTTGGTTTGTTTGTTTGTTTGTTTGTTTGTTTGTTTTCTCGAGCTGAAAGAGACAGATTGCATCTGCCATTGAAAGGCTCGTTGGTTCCCTGAAGGAATCAGAAGTCTCAGGAGTCAGAAGCAGAGCAGGAGCTGACATCCATGCTGATGAAGCTACATTTCACAAGCTACCAGACCACAGGTTTTTCCAGGGAAAGCAACCGTATTAATGGCAGACTTCTCATCAGCAACAGTAAAGGACAGAAGACAAGCTGTGTACAGGTTACTGGGAGGAACACACACTACAGAGGAGACTCATCTCCTAGCCCTGGGCTGGGAGACGCCTTTTAAGCACAAATGTCTGAGTTCAGATCCTAGTTTCTCCATGGCTGCTGAGGATAAACAGAAGGATAGCTTGAAGAAAGTACAAAGCCAGGCTGAGTGAACCAGGTTCTGCTCACAGGTGACCGAGACTACATCAGATGGTTTGGTGAATTCAGCTGGACACCATTACCAAGAATATACCTGCCATCAGATAGGAATGATTTGGGCAAGAAGTAAAGGAAAATTGACAACCAGTAGCTTAAACTGATCATTTTCTCACTGCAAGGCCGCATCAGGCAGGTGATAGGCTGGGTTAGATCCCGTGATGATGGGAAACTCGGACTGTACACGCTTCCATTTGGACATCTGTCTGCTCAACCATCCCTGATCTCTGTCCCTGCCCCCCTCTTAGCTGTTATGTATTCTAAGTGCCAAGCCTCAGACACGAGATCTACGTTCACAGAAGTGGGATGGGTAGTACCAGCCGTATGTGTCATTGCTTTCACGGGAAACGCAGGACTTTGTCACAGGGCTGCCCAATCACAGCAAGGAGGACATGCAGAGAAATTCAGCCAAGATGAAGAATGACCAGTGAGTAGATGGGCTAGTCACCATGAGTGGAGTTGTGCTTCAGTAACAACTTAAAAACCTAAGAGGCCTAAACTATACGAGTGGGGCCGGCAAGATGGCTCAGTGGATAAAGGTGCTTGCTGCTAAACTTGATGACCTAAGTTCTGTCCTGTGTGATAGAAGAAACCTGACTCCTGCAAATTGTCCTCTGACTTCCACACACAAGCAAAGGCATGCAGGCATACACCTACACACACACACACACACACATACACACACACACAGAATAAATAAAAGTTAACTTAAGGGGGCTGGAGAGATGGGACAGTGGTTAAGAGTTTGTGCAGAGGATCCAGTTGTTCAGTTCCTAGCACCCGTGTGCTGGCTCACAACTGTCTGATTCAGGGGGTCCAGTGCCCTCTTCTGCACTCTACAGACTCTGCACACACGTGGTTCACAAACATACATGCACACAGAGTAACTCAAAACACATATATCT